TATGTAGTCCAACTTATCTACTTGTACTTTTGTTGTCTGTGCTTTCAGTGTCATATCCAAAACACCACTGCCATATCTGATTTCATGAAGTTTCTCCTCTATGTTTTCTAAGAGTTTTAGTTTTAGCACTGTGGTTAGGGTTTTTGATCAATCTTGAGTTAATTTTTTATATGGTTAAGATGACAGTCCAACATTCTTTTGCATGTAGTTACCCCATTGTTTTATTCCAAGCCATTTGTTGAAATTCTTTAGCTCTTAAAGGAAGCAGGGTATCTGAAGGTAAGTGGGTCACTGTGCTACTCACTTGCTCAAGGAACCTGGAAAATTTACTCAGCTCCTATTTTTTTATCACCTGTTCATGCATTCATTCACTCATTCATACAGCATGCAGTGTTAAAAATTAGAGCCCACAGCCTAGTAAAATTTAGGAAGTTCTGTGGTATTAGATGGGGAAAGAATATTCTTTATTTTCACTAGTGCAGACAACAAACTACAGGAAGATTAGCAATTTTGTCACCAAGAGAAATACCTGGTATTTTCATATCATGTCTCCATGGCAGCAGCTCTCTCCAAACATTCTTTACACTTGTCACTACTTCCTAATTACAATAATTACTAGACCTATCATTCAGTCATATTATTTAATGCATCAATGAAGATGCACTTATATTTTACAAAATTACAATTGTGTTTTTTAATATTTTGATAACTGTATTTCAATAAAATTGCTTTCCTTTGTACCCCTTCTTATTTTGTTTAATACATTCAGAAACATTATTCTGAGACAGGCGCTACAGGCTTTCCTAGATGAGCAAAGACGTTAAGATGCCCTGCCCTACATAGGGCCCTGGGGACACAGTCTCAGTAAGATCCAGCCACTAGGAATGGGAGGGCACACAGATGTGTAGATGCAACATACTATGCTGGGATCCCAGCAGACTACTTAACATCAAGTTGAGCACCATTTTTTGGAGGTCTGTGTAAAAAGAGAGATCAGCCATTTGTCAGTCTTGAGGAGTGATCCTGTCCCTGCTGATGACGTTTTTGCTCCTCTTTGTGCAAGTAATGAGATTCAGAAGAACCAGCCCAGCCCCCCTTGGCAGCAGAACATCAGCTCTCCTTTCTCCTCTTCTGCTGACACCAAATATATTCAGCTATGGAAATGGAGATGCTCAGTGAGCTCTCGGTAACTATGGAAATCCCAGGGTTTCCCTAGCAACAGCTCTAGTTCAGCCTTGTTGCTAGGGAACACTGGGATTTCCCAGGCTGCCACAAGAACAAGACTGCTCTAGCCCAAGGGCAGAGGCATGAGCACAGCTGTGAATCTGAGCCCCAGGAATGGATGATGTGTACCCCTCCACTTTGATCCTTTCAGATTGAAGGACCTGGCCAATAGCCAAGTGAAAGGGGGCTGCATACTGGGCAAGAGGTCTTGAGAGGATGATGAGGAAGGAGTGCAGGAGAGTACACAAACTAATGAGAAAAGCCCAAAATGAGCCCCAAAGATACCAAGAATGAGATCATGCTGGGCTTCAGGAAGCTCTTCAATCTTCAAGCCCAGAACTTGGCAGTTTGTAAAGCAGTTTCCCCAAGATGATAATGTAGTACATACCTGCTTGGGTTAAGGAGCAGGCCCAAGGTTAGAACTAAGCTAGTCTCATGGATGAGAGTGTACAATGTAGGTGGTCCCAAAGGGCCCTACACTTAGAAGTGCTCTGAATGCTTGGTGTGATGCTCTGTTCTCACCATTTTGAAATTCAATTTTTAAAGAAGCAGCCCTGAATTTTTATTTTGCAATGTGTGTGTGCATGCTAAGCCACTTTAGTCATGTCCGACTCTGTGTGATCCCATGGACAGCAGCCCACCAGGCTCCTCTGTCCATGGGATTCTCCACACAAGAATACTGGAGTGGGTTTCCATTCCCTCCTCCAGGGAATCTTCCCCACCCAAGGATCAAACCCATGGCTCTTGCATCTCCTGCATCAGCAGGCAGGTTCTTTACCACTAGCACCACCTGGGAAGTCCCTCACATACACACACATACATAAACACATTTTCAGAGTCTTTTAATCTATAAGTGTTCCCTCTATCTCTTTTATTCCCTTCCATAACTTGTTTGTCAAAGGAACCAAATCCTTTGCCCTGAGGAGTTTCCCTTAGCAGCATTCCATCAATTGCATACTCATGTCATAGTTTAACAGGCCCAGGTATCCTGAACATGTGTTGCACATTGGCAGTTGGATTTAGAGGTATAATCAGAATCAAGTTTGATATTTTGTGGGGAAGACTACATTGTAGGTGGGACAGCATTCTTCATCAAGAGGCACATTGTATCTTGTTGTCTGTTGTATTGTCAGTACCCACTGATTCTTAATGCTTAGATCTTTAATTTATTAGAGGTTGCAAATAGTAATAAGCCAAGGCTATCTTACTCCTTCATTTCTTTGTTGGAATACTTCTATAAAGACACTCTTTCCCACATCTACAGTTTGTATAAGAAAGGACTGACAAATGCTTGAATCTTTCCCTTTATTTCCCAATTTCCAAAAGAAAGTATTAATCTTCTAGTATCCTCCAAAAATTGTCATTTTAAAATATCATTTTGAGCTTATATATTTAGACAAATTTTGTCCATCTTAATCAATTACAGTTTCATTCTTACTGATCATGAATTGGTCTCTTCTCTGGCCAGTATGAGTCCCTTTCAGGTAGTTGGGATCCTAGGACTTTCGAACACCACTCTACTAATCTTCATTTTGCAGTATGACAAGATGTTCCATGCTTATCTGTTATGTTCCTTGCCCCATACTTGGAACAAGCTATTTTCTCAAAGACCTCCATTTTTGTTTTTTCTGTTGTTTTATTTTAAGTGGGAAATGGAATTTCAAGAAGGCTCATTGCTGCTGGGCTGATTTCTAGATTGCGTCAGTGTTTGGTGCTAGAAATTACATAGACACAAAGGTTAAAAATAAAATATCTCATAGTTCATAGTGATAATTTCCATTCATATTGAAGATTACAGAGTAAGTTTATTTAACACTTTTTTATGCACACACACATACACACATTGAATTAGAATATAACATACTTGCTCATTTCTTTTATCCCACACTATACATTTGAGCAAACTCAGGGAAATAGTGAAGGACAGGGAAGCCTGGCATGCTGCAGTCCATGGGGTTGTAAAGAGTTGAACATGAGTGAGCAACTGAACAACAACAACCTGTTTGCCAGACCCTGGGATGATATGTGCTCTAAGCTGAATTTCAGTCCCCCAAAATTCCTATGCTGAAGTCCCAACACTAATACCTCAGAATGTGACTGGATTTGCAGATAAGATCTTTAAAGGGGTGATTAAAGTTAAATGAGGTCATTAAGATGGGCCCTAACTCAATATGACTGGTGTCCTTATGAGAAGAAGAGATTAGAACATAGACAGGCAGAGGGAAGACCACATGAGGACACAGGGAAAAGATTGCCATCTACATGCCAAGGAGAGAGGCCTCAGAAGGAACAGCTGTACTGACCCCTTGATCTCAGACTTTCAGCCTCCAGAAGTGGGAGACAATAGGTTTAAGTCCCTCAGTCATTGGTATTTCATTATGGCAGCCCATTTAAGCCCCTCAGTGGTTAGTATTTCGTTATGGTGGCCCCAACAGATAATAGGGGGCTTCCCTGGTAGCTCAGATGGTAAAGAATCTGCCTGCAATGCAGGAGACCCAGATTTGATCCCTGGGTCAGGAAGATCCCCCGGAGAAAGAAATGGCTAACCACTCCAGTATTCTTGCCTGGAGAATTCCATGGACAGAGGAGCCTGGTGGGCTCTAGTCCATGGAGTCGCAACGAGTCAGACACGACTGAGTGACTAACACACACACACAACAGACTAATGTGTCCTTCAATGCTCCCACTTGTGTGAGGTACAGACCACGAGTATCTCACAGAGCAGGTACCTGCAAATCGGAGGGATTAAGTACCTTGCTTGGGGTCATGTAAGCTACCAAGCAGCCCAAGCCAGGATTCGAATTCAGCTTAGTCTGATATTCAAGGCTGTGTTGATATCTCAGGCAGCCTGAGTGGGTTGCACTGCAGCTTATCCATTTCAGAATATCTGGATCTGTTTCTTTCTGCTGTCCCATGGGCTAAGGGTCATCTGACATGACTCTCCTGTCCCACGGCCCATGACCAGCGCATTTCTGCCCAAGATTCCAGTTTCTCAAAGCTTCCTGGTCGTTGGCACCTGTGCTCCAGGCTGAGATGATCACCCTGGATAGATCCTTTCACAGAAGGACACTGAGGCCATATTGACATTTTCTGTCCAGAACACCAAACAAGAGTGGACATGAAAAGCCTTTGAAAACTGTCAGTAGCAATGTAGCAGTCGCATGGTGTCCCTAAGCCCTTCAACACTAGAGGATACTTTTCTTTAGTGTTAAAGTAACTGTACCAGGAAAATGCAAATTCTGCTGCTTTCATGCAGGGGTGGGGGTGGAGTGAAATTCAGCTCTCTGTGACTCTCCCCTTACATCCCCAAGGCAGCCAAGTATCTCCCTAAGCAAAGAACTACCTACCCAGAGAAAACCATGGCTCTCCCCTGGAAAGCAAAAGCAACTGCAGTTGGTTAAGAGGATGGATTTTTTTTGTTAACAGTGCTTTATCAAGGTACAATGTACATACAAAACCACAGGGGAAAAAAATGCACAGATATGGCAGCCTGGATGGAAGGGGAGTTTGGGGGAGAACAGATACATGTATATGCATGGTTAAGTCCATTCCCATTTACCTGAAACTATCAGAACATTGTTAACCACCTATACCCCAATATAAAATAAAAAGTTTTTAAAAATTAAGAAAACAAAATTGTGCAAATCAGAAGTGTAACACTTGAGAAATCTGTGATCATCATGCAGGTCAAATGATAGTTGTAGTTGTTAAGTGGAAATCCCCACCTCTCTACAACAAAATTTCCATGCATAGTGTGACAACTCTGATTATGCCAGGTATTGGGGCCCAAGGATGCAGAGTTGAAGGTCAGTGGAGTCGATGACCTTGCTGACCTAGTAGAACCAGAGCGATGACAGAGATCAGGGACTAGGGAAACACAAAGAGGAGCATAGATCCAAGTCAAGCCATCATGAAAGATTCCCTTTGAGTATGTGACAGGTAAGCTGGATCATGTAGGATAAGAATGAGTCTGCTGGGGAAGAGAAGAAATAAGTGGACATTGTAGACATAAGAGTGTGTGGAGGCTTAAGGGTATCAAACAGTTTAGGAGAAAGACTTCAGGGTAAATACAGCATAGGATGGCTCACTTGGAGTCAGAAATAAGATATAATTATAGAGAAATGAAAGCAAGATTCTTGTGTGACTTAGAAGCTGTTTCTGAAGTCAGAACAGTTAGTGCCTAATGTTCATGTCAGATTTTATTGATGTGGTCAAAGGCTGTTACAGAATACACAGGGCAAAGAGCAGGGGCTGCAGGATTCTCACAGCAACATTCAGAATAAATGTGAGTCTCTGCCTGACAAGTGATATGGCAGAGCAAGTTACATAAATGGAATTACTCATCTAATTGATCACAGCACAAATTGATCAAGGTAGCTAAAATCAGCTCAGTACTGATGTTTAAAATAGTCAAAGATGTTTAAACTTAACAAACCTAAATGCATGTTTCGCCTCATTGTCCCAGCATATCATTTTCTCCTTCTTTAATCATTTGTTTTACTTTGTCACCAGAACATATCTTTTCAAGTGTCCTTAAATCCTTTCTGAAAAAAGAAAAATAAACACCTAGATAGCCACATACATATGTACATCAGAAACTGTCCATCCTTTCCCAGCATCCCTGACATAAACCAAACTGTTATACACACTCAAGTCTGTTTCAAGACCATTTCTTCTGTTCCAATAATCAATTTTTTTCCTGGTCTTATACCACACTGGTTTTATTTACTATGGTTATTTCCAACTAAACGTTCAAACATTCTCAACTCTCTCCCATTAAAAACAAAATAATAAAAGTTCATTCCTGTGACACTTCCACATGACCACTAGGTACTATCCTTCTCTTCTTATCCTTTTATAGTTAACTTTCTCAAAAATGTTATATATACATTCCTCTACTTACCACATTTCACCCTAGGCACCCACATTTTGGTTTCCACAGAAATCTTCTTGCTAAGGTCTGTCTCCTGACACACCCTCCCCTTGCTTTTATGACATTTCATTCCCTTAAATTTTCTGCAGTCACTTTCCTTATTTTCTGTCTCTTTACTTTGCCTCTCCTCCTCTTTCCATTTTTTAAACACTGAAGCTCCTGGGCAGCCTTCTTTTAGCATGCACACTACACAGTCACCTTAGGAGGGCTCCCCACATCTATATTATCTGTGACACAGGTGATTCTACATGTTCATCAAACACCATTTCCTTTTCCTACTTTACTTGTGGCTAGGATACATTTCCCAGAGTTCTGATTCAGTGTAGACATGTGACTGACTTCTCACCAAATGAACGTAGGAGAAAGAGACTATGAAACTTGCATGTCTGGCCACTCAAATTTCACACGTGGTCCTCCAAGATCTGTCTCTTTACTCATCTTCCAGCCATTTGCAAAGAAGTCAGTGGAGATTTTGAAGTGCCTAGGGGCCTCTGGAGCTATTGGACAGAAGGAAGTTTGGTCCCTGATATCCTGTACAGAGTCAAGCCTAGGCAGCACTCCAAGCCATCTCCAGTGATTTGAACTATGACATGAGTGAAAAATAATCCTTTATTGAATTAGCTCACTGAGACACGGAGATTGTTTGATACAGCAGTTAACTCTCACTAACTGATATACCATCTTTATGCTAACGACAACCAAATATATGAATTTCAGGCTTGTATTGATACTTCTTTTTGTGTATCAAATAATTGACAATTGACAATGGTTGCCCAAATGAGAAGACAATTTTTTTATGTTTATTAGTCATTTATTTTTCATGCAACAAGTATCTATTGAGTACCTACTGTGCACCAGGCACACTAGGCTCTACATTTGCAATGATGAACAAGCACAGGTCCAGGCCTCGCTCTTAAGAATTATTCAGGTTGCTTTACTGCAGTGAAATATACATAACATAATATTTGTCATTTTAACTGCTTGTAAGTGTACAATTTTGTAACATAAATAGTTACCATTGCAACTATCTACACTCAAAAACTTCATCATCACAAGTGAAAACTCGGTCCCCATTAAATAATATCTCTCCCTCCTCTCCCCTCAGCTCCTGGTAACTTGTATTCTATTTTTTCATGCTTGTGCTCAGTCACTTCAGTCATGTCTGACTCTTTGCAACCCTATGGACTGTAGCATGGCAGCCTCCTCTGTCCATGAGATTCTCCAGGCAAGAATACTAGAATGGGTTGCCACGCCCTCCTCCAGGGAATCTTTCTGACACAGGGATTGAAGCTGCATCTCCTGTATTGCAGGTGGATACTTTACCACTGAGCCACCAAGGAAGCCCATTCTACTTTCTATCTCGATGTATCTATTCTAGGTACATGATACAAGTGGACAAACACAGTATTTGTCTTTCTGTGTCTGACTTTTCTCCCTAAGGAAAATGTTTTCAGAGTCCATCCATATTATAGCATGTATCAAATTTTCATTCCTTTTTACAGCTGAATAATATTCCATTGCATTATATAAACCATGTTTTGTTTATCCATTCATCTGTTGATGGACACTTAAGTTTCCACCTTTTGGCTATTGAAAATAATGTTGCTATGAACATGAATGTGCAAACTCTTATTAGGTCTGTACTTTCAGTTCTTTTTGTGATACATCTAAGAGTGGAATTGTTGGGTCATACGGTAGTTTAATGTCTAATATTCTGATATATCGCCAAACTATTTTCCAAAGTATCTGTACCATTTTATACTCCTATCAGCAATGAACCAGGGTTTCAATGTTTTCACATCCTCCCCAACACTTGTTATCTTCCATTTTTTCTGGCCATCCTAGTGAGTGTGAAGTGTTATTTACTAATATTTTTAAATAGAAAAGTCATATAAGATTTATACAGTCCTGTTTTAAGAAATTCAAGCCCAAAGCATGTTAAAAGGAAGAAGTCCATTTCCGTATAGCCCCCTCCTTCTTCTCCCCAGAGAAAACCAGTTAAAAGTTTGGTGTGCATCCTTTCAGAACGTGTTCTCTGCATTTGTATTCTTATATAGGCATGAATTTAAAATTATACATAATCACACTATGGTTGTGATAAAAAAAATAAATAAATAAAAAATTTAAAAAAAATAAATAAATAAACCTAAAAAAAAATTATACATAATCTATACAAACATTATGTAATTAAAGCCAATTTCCATCCTTCTTTCCACCCCTTCCAGTGTTCTTTCCACCCCTGAGATCTTACCCTATAGCTTACCCCACTGGTTATAAAGTGGTTATTGATGTCCTGGAAGAATAAGCTGTGCTGACTAGCTTTATCACTAGCAGCAGAATTTTAGTATCTTTCTCATGGAGAAGGAAATGGCAACCCACTCAAGTATTCTTGCCTGGAAAATCCAATGGATGGAGAAGCCTGGTAGGCTACAGTCCATGGGGTCACAAAGAGTCAGACACGACTGAGCAACTTCACTTTCATTTTCATGCAGAACATATCACCGAGGAAGTCTTGGGTCTGTTTTGGAATTACCTTCCCTATCACATATACTAACAATTCTTTATGCTCCTTTCCCTCTTTGAAATTGCTTCCTTTGTCTGGGGGAAAAAAAAGAATTAGAAAGATTTTCTCCCTCTTAAAGAAAACAAATGTCCAACAGTTTCAAATGGGTAACAGATAGTGTTTGAGAAGACATTGCCCTCTGCTGGCTGTATTAGTTGAGGTTCTCCAGAAGAGAAGGTTTTCTATATATAAATCATCTCTTATTGGTTTTGTTTTACATATATATATACATAGAGAGAGAGAGAGAGAGAGAGAGAAAGACAGACAGGGACAGATTAGCTGGAAGGATTACAGCGGCTGACTTGTCTCAAGATCTGCAGGGTGAGTCAGCAAGCTGGAGACTCAGGAGAGCTGATGGCATAAGTTTCAGTCTGAGTGTGAAGATTTAGAAATGAGGACAGCCAGTGGTGTGGTTCCAGTCTGAAAGCTGGCAGACTCAAGACCCAGGAAGAGCCAGAGTCCCAGTTCAAAGAACAGATTCTTTCTCTGTGACTCAGTGGAATTGTCGCCCTTTTTTACTCTACTCATGCCTTCCACTGATTGAATGAGGCCCAAGCATGTTAAGGAGAGCAATTTGCTTTTCTCAGTCCATAGATGTAAATGTTAATCTCACCCAAAAATATCATCATAGAAACACCAAAATAACGTTTGACACCCCATGATTCAGCCAAGTTGGCACATAAAATTAATAATTGAACTGGTCATATGAACTGCTTTGGAGACCAAACCAATAGCAGGAAGCTGTGGTATATTTAAGCAATTGCACTGATAGGTGTTATAAGCAATCAAAATTTTAAGTAAGAAATTAAGAATAGAAAAACATGTTAATTAACCCAGAGAGAAAAAGAATAGGCTCAGCCATCTAGTTTTCACTTAAAAGTATTTAAGCTAATTGAAACAAGGAGCATGTTGTCTTAGCATAGTGATAGAGTAGAAAGATCATGAACTCTAGAGCCAGAAACTCTGAACTTGAGTCTTGGCTGCTGTGCTTAACCTTTCTGAGCCTCAGGTATTTTATCTGTAAAATAGGGTGATAATAATTCCTGCCCAATGCTGATTATTCAAGGATCAAGATTGCCCCAATTCTCTATGGTTTAGAAAGGACTAAGAGTTTGGGAAATCGTGGGTCTGGGAGTTATAGACCACTGTCTGTAGAATGATTTATTAAACCTGACTATGGATGAGGAAATGACCAGAATTTGGGAGAAAATAATAATGACATTTTGAGGTTTATAACAATGACAGACAAGCTTGGGTGGACATCAAACATGAACTTAGATTAGAGGACCTGAGAAAGCAGACTCAGGAAGAGAAAGGCAGAAAGCAAAATAGCACACAACACAATCTGCAGCACTACT